GTGTTATGTGTGTGTACCAATTCCCCATGAGGAATGTAATTATTACATACTACAAACATGTACTAATAAAAATTTAAAAAACCCCTAAAACCCCAAATATAAAGCTCTGACAAAAGAGGCCGCAAACAAAGTTATAAGCCAAGTACAGAGAGCAAAAAACATTTGTAACACACACAACACAGGGTTATTTAAAAACAACAACAACAAAAACCAGGGCAGGAGTGCTGAAGGGAAGATCCACTAGAAGCCCAGAGTTGGTGTGAAAATTATTTAAACTAAAAATATTCAGGGTGGCCGGGCGTGGTGGCACACGCCTGTAATCCCAGCACTCGGGAGGCTGAGATGGGAGGATCACTATGAGTTCGAGACCAGCTTGGGCTACACAGTGAGTTCCAGGTCAGTCTCAACTACAAAGTGAGACCCTGTCTCAAAAAACCAAAAAAAAGAAAAATTCAGGGTGCAACAGATTCAGAAAGAAACTTATTAGACTTCCATTGTCTAACAAAAGGCAGAGAGTTCTGCCTTCCTTCCCTTTCAGGATAGCTTTTTCTCCCAGAAGATCAAGAGTAAACCTTATACATCATAAACCTCCTTGTCTCTCCTTTACTCTGCAAACCACTGTGTTCTTACACAGGGCTTTTCTCTTCCTCCCCCACTTTCTTCTATAAATTAGACATATAAGCCTTTTTCTTTTATAACCGCCTGCAGATATACAAATAGAGTTTTCTGAGGTTTTTTTTTTGGTACCAGGAATTGAATTTGTCGTTTTTTTTTTTTTGTTTTTTTTTTTGTGGTACCAGGGATCGATACAAATAAGCGTTTTCTCTTGCTATTCCTTTTTTTGTTTGTTTGTTTTTGGCAACAGGGTCTTGCTATGTAGTTCAGGCTGGCCTTGAATTCACTATGTAGCCCAGGCTGGCCTCAAATTTAAGTTGATGCCCCTGCCTTGGCCTCCTGAGTGCTGGGATTAGAGAAGTGTGCCACATACCCAGTTTTGTTATTATTTTCTCTGGTTAATTTGCAGGCCTCTGGTGTGGAGACTCATGGTTATTTTACCATTATTCTATGAGGCCACATTGCAGCTGTGCAATGAATCTGCAGTAGGACATTAACTTTTCACTTTGCAAATGCTAAGAACTATGTCTTAATACCATTTCCTCTCCAGCCCAACACAATATCAAACATTTCTTTTAAGTACTTTGTCATTTGCTGATTTGTTTTTACCTGGAAGGACTAGTCTAGCAATGCCAAGCACACTGGACCCTGCAGAACAAAACTATTATGCCAGTCCTCAGGTGACACTTGCCATCCTTAGAACTGAGGAGGGACAGTAGAACCACCATGACACTTCTAGACCCCTCCTCACGTTAAAATCAAATACAAAAATCTCAGCCCTGTGGCGTGTTCCTCTCAGACTCACCAACTTTTTACCACCATCACCTCCCGTGGCATCCGGGCACCAAAGTCGAGAAAGAAGTTTTTCCTTCCTGACTCGGAGCCACTGCAGGCTGCTGTTAAGTAACTTCCCACAGGTCCATATCCGTGCTTTGCCTCCTCCCAGCCCTTGACCCACGATTACTTCTCAAGGTCCCATTCACCTGAGGCACCAAATCAGGTTATTTAAGCGCGCTTTCTGCCTCACAGTTTGTGATATGTTTCTTGTCTTTTTAGTAGAGGTCCCGAGCCTGAGCCTCTCAGCTGTAGAAATGTATGATGATTGGATGACTGCACCGGAAGGGCCCTCGGTAAGAACTCTCTGCCTGACAGCAAGTAGGAAGCTCCTGAAAACAGCACTCACATGGCATAGCAGAGACCTACCTTTAGGTCTGGGCTATGGAATTCTGATTTGAACTCTGAGCTCCAACAGAAAGTATTTTTGAAAAATGCATACATTCCATGAACCAATCAAGAGAAGGATGCAGTCATTCATAAAGCATGACTAAAAAATACATGAACTAAAATTAGTCCTTACAATTGTATCTCCAGATCTTAAAAGCAAACAATTAGTTGATTAAGACCTAATTAGACCTAATTGAATATCATCTCATATTGGCTCAAATTCTTTTTTTTTTGGTGGTGACAGTATAGAGGATTGAACCCAGGACCTTGCTTTGAGCTGTATTTTCAGCTCTATTTTAATTTCTTATTTTGAGACAGGGTCTTGCTAAATCATTAAGTCACCCAGGCTGCGCTTGAAACTTGTGTCCTCCTGCCTCCACCTCACAGAGTGCTGGGTAAAGGCAAGTGTCATCACTTTGGGCTCAGGGTCTAGATGGTTTTGAACTCAGCTTTTTTGGCAGTGCATCCAGAACACCCAGCACATGGCCTCCTGAACATGCACATTTCAAAGGCCCTTGCTCAATGTAAGCATTCATACGTTCAACACTTATCTGGGAAATCATCTCTGTGGGCTTTTCTGCTTTTGTGTTTTCACTCTTCCCTTTCTTTGCTCAGCAGTGGGAGTGCTCGCCTTTGTTCAATCAGCCCCAGGGGAAGATCCAGTCCTCCGTTCCTAACAGCCCTCCTGGAAGGGGAGGGGATGCTTTGTGACCGTCCTGGGCCTTAGAGGAGCCTGTGCTGGAGGAGGGAGGAGGTGCAGACTGGCTGCTCTGACAAAAGGATTAATTTTGCCTGTTGTAGCTTTGGTGCAGGCCTGGCGGGGGACCTGGTGGAAACGGGGATGTGCTGCAGTGATAAACACTGTGCACCGAGCTGAGACATGTTAGCTGGTCACACTTGCCTGCAATCCCAGCTCTCTGGGAGGCTGATGCAGGAGAACGGCAAGTTCAAGCCCAGCCTGGGCAATTTACCAACTTAAAGTTTCAAAATTAAACACAAAAAGGCTGGGGACATAGCTCAGTGTGAAGGCCCTGGTTTCAATGTCTAGAACTGGAAAAAAAAAAGTACAGTATTTGCACAATAATTATTATAAATTAGAAATTTATATACAGGGAAGATTTAGAAGATTTTCCCGGGCCTCCACTGTAGAACACTATCTAATATAATAATAACCACGAGTATTATTAATAGTCTTGCAGCTAAACTTTGCAAAAACTTGTTACATGTCCCTGATGGCACTGTGTTTAAAATACATTCTCTCACCTGAAATTCTGCATGCTTGGGCTTATTATCCCCCCTTTCAGAAATGAGGAGACTGGGGAAGGAAGTTGTGGACGCTGCCCGAGTTAAATGCGCTGGCAGAGGCAGTGACGATGTTGGAGTCGGGTCTCTGTGCCATGCTGCCTCCAGCATTTTCTCTTTAAGATGTGCAGCATTGCACTCTGCTGAGAGACCCATTGTATGCGGTTTGGAGGTCACCTTGAGATTTATGCTCCAGTGCCTCTCATTATGGGGGGAAGCAGAGGCTTAGAAAGGTTACCTGAGTTGCCACGGACAGTTCCGTGGGGCTCCGGGGAGAAATGCAGCTTAATGGGCTCTGCACATTCAGGGTTACTGAGACGCTGAATTTTCATGCAATTAATTTGGAATTCGGCAGCTGCAGGCTTTCATTTGAACCCCGTGCTTTCAAATTGCCTGTCTCATCACCTGCAGAAGCAGGGCCACATGCGCTGAGCTGGTATGGTCCAGTGAACCTCTTAAAGATCTGGAAGCCTATGGTATAAATCGAATAAAAAATGGGAGGCGCGTCTCTCTGTGTTGCCCTGGGTAAATCTCTCCTTCTAATATTAGAACTGTGGGCTCTGTGGCTGCAAGTTAATTTGATTTGATGAAATCATCCACAGCCGTGTTGCTGGTTTCAATCCAGGTTCGTCATCACTAATTTAAGCAAAGAACTAATGATTTGCATCCTGTTTTTTTCCTGTGGGTGGATATTGAACCCAGAGAGCACTGAGCTACATTCCCTTTTAAAATTGTGATTTTGAGACAGAATCTTACTAAGTTGCCCGGGCTGGACTCAAACCTGTGGGACTCCTGCCGCAGCCTCTCAAGTAGCTGGGTTTATAGGCATTCACCACCACACCTGCCTACCTTCTTGATCTCTGACTTCACATCTGGCCCTGAGCAAGAAGAGCAGCCTTTGCGGCTGAGCTCTGTAAATTGCCTGGTGTGACCTTAGTTACTCATGGCTCATACGATCTTCTTCCATCCATTTGATTTTCTTTTGGTACTGAGGATCGAACTCAGGTCCTTGTGCTTGCAAGACAGGCGGTGGAACCACTGAGCTAAATTCCGAGCCCTTCCATCCATTTCTTAATCCTCTATTCGCATTGCTGACGAGTTTCTGATATTAACCCATTTTAAGGTTTTACTTATTTAAAATTTTTTAATTTGGGTTTTTTTTTGGGGGAGAGGGATAAGTTCTCACTATGTAGTCCAGGTTTGTCGCGAGCCGGCGACACAGAGCACTGCCCAACAGTGTCTCAAACCTGAAAGAGCAGCGGGGTGGAGATGGAGCAGAGAGAAAGGAAGGACGCCAAGACAAGAGTCTGATCAAGGCGACGTTTATTGCAGGCAGGCATCCGCCTTTTAAAGGAAAAGACCGAACTATTATGGGCTAGGATTACCATAGTAACCTCAACACCCGCTCCACGGGAACGAGGGTTCACACGGGAAAGAGAAAGCAGGCTCAAGAAAAACAAATTAACAACACTTGCAACTAATAATCATGATTCCCAAATAGGTGGAGGAACTTAACAAAATGGAGTTATAACACCTGACTCCTACAGATAACGTCAGATCTTTAACAGGAAGCATCTGACTCCTACAGCTCTTTGGCTGTCCGAGTTTCTCCCGTGCAGGGTCAAAAACAAGTTTAACACGTGCAGTCCTTAAAAAGGAACAAATGTTATCTTTCAAAAAGCCAGTGGGCCATGGCTGGCTTCCCACACAGGTTGACCTCAGGCTCATAACACTGGCCTCGAACTTGCCATCCTCCTGCCTCAGCCTCTTGAGTGCTAGGATTACAGGCATGTAGCATCAGATGGTGGTTCATTCTTAAAGAAATAAAGCCATCAGCCCCAAGTGGTTGTGGGTCTTACCTGAATCCAGGTGATCTAGGTGCCAGGGGTCGGTGGCAGACGACATGGGGGACAGGGTCAGTGGGGAGGCCCCACAGTTGGACTCCACCAGCTGGCCCTGGATGTACACGTGGGCAGAGGTGTTTGTCTGCCGCAGGGCAGCCTTGAGCGGGGCGATGTGGTTGAACTGGACTCTGGAGAGGCAGCCCGTGAATCCTGGGGTGTTGTATTTGTGAATCTCCTGGTCAATCTTCCCTGTTTCTAAAAGAAAAGAAAAGAGAATAAGAATCAGATCCCACTCACGGTACTAAGGTGGGAAAACAGCCTTGGCATGTGGTGTGCTTATGCCTGAATTATGCGTTTTGGGTTCAGCTTTAGATATTAAAACCCTGAGAGCAGAATGTTAAGGACTCACTGAAACTCAGGGCTGTGGACAGCGCTGCAGGAGAATCTGGTGCTGCTAGAGAATATGGGGCGGTGAGAATAAAACTGTTCGGTAAAGTGAAACACATCCATAATTACCTTCAGGCTAACTCAAGACAGTGTGAACACGTACAGCAGTCACTTGGTTCTGATTTTTGTCCTTGTCTTTTTTTATTCTTCCTGACCCTGTAGGATCCTGATAGTGAACCTTTTAGAGACAGAGTGCCCAGCTACAACCCAAAGTCACTTAATTGTTGCAAAGTGCCAACATTGCAAATAACCTGAATACTGAGTTTTTTTGTTTGTTTGTTTTGTTTTGTTTTTTGGTACCAGGGATCAAACTCGGGACCTTGCACTTGCTGGGCAGGCAGCGGCACCACTGAGCTAAATCCCTGGCCCAGGTGAGGTTTGTTTGGAAAAAGCAACTCTACATTAACATCTCCTCACTTAAAAGAATGAGATGGCCTGATGTCAAAGCTTGGCCAGCACCACTGATAGAAGGCAGATTCTTGTCTAGAGCAAGATTCAATGTTCCTTAAGAACATCTACAAATGATAGTGCAGTGTAGGTATGACTTTAGCACATTTATTACAGTTATATTAATCTGTAAAATGGATTGGACTGGTCTCTTCCTGAAATTAGATATAAAAATATAAGAAATTACAGAAAGGCAGGAATTGAAAGCAATAGAGAGGCCTTGGCCCAGGTGGTACTTAGAGGAAACTTGCTCTACACCACGCAGATTTAGAAATAGAACACACTTCTGAGGTTAATTCCCAAGCAGTCATTAGTCCTTTCATGTCTTAAATTCATGGGGATATGGGTTATGGAAATGTAGCCCACTTAAGATATTTCCACAATTCCAGGTAAAACCTTAAAGTGAGATGCACACAGTGGCGCTTCAGGGAGAGGCAGCAGTTGCATTTGCAATACATTAGAGTGCGTTTCCATATACTCTAACTGGGTGGCTGCATATCAAGTGACAGGCACGCATGTGACAAATGCCAAAAGGGCACCTGAGGGAGAAGCTCCCCCAGGTGAAAGGCAGGGCCATAGGTGGCCTCACACACAGCTTTCCCTGTCACCTCTGCACCTGGGTACACATGGAGTTGCCTGGGACAGCTGGGTGTAGCTTCATGAGGGCAGACAGTTTTTTCACTCTGTTCCCATTTGGCTATAGTTGAATGGATAGGAGCATAAATGGGCCAGTGGAATAAACAAATGGGAAAAATCATAACCATAGCAACAAAAGCCAAGATCCAAAAATGCAAAATAAAACCAAATAACTCCTAGCCGGGCATAGTGGTGCATGCCTATAACCCCAGCACTCAGGAGGCTGAGGCAGGAGAATTGCTGCAAGTTTGAGACGCCTGTGATACACAGTGAGTTCCAGGGCAGTCTGAACTAGATAGTGACACCTTGTCTCAAAACAAGCAAACAAACAAACAAACCCCAAATAACTTCTGGGTTCTAATGTGGCCAAATGATGCGTGGTAAGCAGAGCACAGAAATTCTGGCATCTGGGTTCCATGCCAGCCAGGCCCCTACCCTTGCTTTCCAGGGTATGGTTTTTGATGAGTGACATCTTCCTGACCAGTTGACTTTCAAAGGATGTATGAGCAGAATTAAATCCATGTACATAATCAATGTACATTAGTACATACTACAACATTTTATTAATTCCTTAGAGAAAGACACTAATGAAATTTCATGTCTTTATTAGATGCTTTTCTCTCTTATGAAGAAAGGCAGGACTAATATATGTAGGTATAATTTAAATAGTTCTTGGCCTATGGCATACACTAATTCAATGACAACGAAGCTTGGAGAAGCAGGCTCTTTGTTCCAGTCACATTGTGCCTGTTACATTTTAACTTGTCTAAGGATCAAGAAAACACAACTGGGTGTTTTTTTCCCCAGACAACAATGAAAACAAATACCTTCACTTAAAGATGCTAGCGTACTATTATGCTGTTTTTGCAGAAATATAAAGCATGACATTTTTATTTATATCAACTTAGGAGGGTTCCTGAGTGTCTAGGGATATCAAATATGTTGAAATTGTCATTCTTCTTCCTAACCCGTAGCCTGAAAACAGAAAACTTACAATCATGGTTAATCTTATAATACACTTGTAATTACACAGTAGGAAAACACCGATACAAAGAAGGTACATTCCTTAGGTGTGTCAAAAAAGGAGACATTTGGACGGTGTAGAGCACACACCTGAAAGCACACATTTGGACCCCCCGCTTTTTTCTGGGTGTTTCAGATTGTCAGACATAAGACAGAAAGCCTAAAAGGTGCTAGGGCACTGTTCTGTGGCCTCTGGTGCCCGGCTATGTTGCAGGATTTTCCAGGGCTAAGAAAATCAAGCTCTGCTAAAACTAACATGACTTTCAGAACAATGTGTGTCCCTGTCAGTTGCCCCACAGGGCTTAGCACTGTGACTTACTTCCCAAGGAACGTAGCGCTGAAGTTATCTCTTGAAATCTTAGCAAATGTAAGCCGTGTGTCCTCGCTATTTGCTACTGCAAAACAGAGCATTAATGTGTGAGCTGGAAATGAACAGATCTGATCCTTACTCCTTGCAGCTTATTGCACTTGTGTATTTTTAAATTACCAGCACCAGAAATATAATCCTATGTATAATATTCTCAAATTGAAATATAGTGCAGAAAAATGAATTCTGTATGTCCTGTTTCTGCTAAAATGTTTTCTTCTGTTGTTATTGTTTTAGGTTTGCAAAGTCATATTAAATGTATCTAAAAACATAAGGAGAGGGAGTTTCAGTTTTCTAGATTTATCCTTAATCTCTCTGTAAACCACATAAGGAAATTCCAGCTAAGATTAGTGGAGGGTCATTTGAAGCTAGTTCCCAGAGGAGCAGGAAAACATGGAGTACAGAGGAAAGGACAGGGCATTGTTGACCTCAGACATTTCAAAGGCAGCTTTAAAAAGTGTAGGCTAGTGTTATGATTTGGGTTGGAAATGTGCCCCCAAACTCATGTGCTAAAGATTTGGTTGCCAGCTGATGGGCTTTCTGGGAAGTGAATGGATCACAAGGGCTCCCATTTCATCAGATGGATTAATCAATTCAGAGAACATAATTGGACTGCATTATTAGAAGGTGATGGGAACAGGTGGTAGGACCTAGTTGAACAGAGTGGATCACAGGGGTGTGACCTTGGGGACTGTATCCTCTCTACTTCCTTTCTTCTTCCTTTGCATGGGGTGAGCAGTTTTCTCCCACGGCCCCCATCTGCTATGTTGTTTTTAACCATGAGCTGAAACTTTCTGAAAGCGTGAGCCAAAATAAACCTTTTCTTCTTAAGTTGTCCTCAGGTATTTTGTCACAGCAACAGAAAGCCAACTAACATAGCTAGGAAAAAGTATGTTAGCAAATTTTTTGTATTTCCAGACACTGTCAAATTGAATGATTCAGTAGAATAAAAAGTGGATGGGCTGGGGATTTAGCTCAGTCGTTCCCAGTGCCTGCTATGCAAGCACAGGGACCTGAGTTCGATTCCCAGTGCCAGAGAGAGAGAGAGAGAGAGAGAAATAAAAATAAAAGAAAGGATTATTTCCTATGCAAGCACAGGGACCTGAGTTCGATTCCCAGTGCCAGAGAGAGAGAGAGAGAGAGAGAAATAAAAATAAAAGAAAGTGGATTATTTCCTTTGTTCTCACTTCTAATTTCAGTCCCAGGGGGCATATAAAGCTATCTTACAGAAGAGAAAAATCCTCTGAGGACTAAGACTGCACAAAAACACAAACCAGCAGAGTATTAGGAAATGGACATTGAAGCAGGAATGAAAGCAATGGTTTTCCCAGGATGATGAGAACTGTCAGGCACACACAGAAAAAGAGGAAATAGCTTTGTATTTCTAGAAAGTATACTGGGGGGCTCCCTTAATTTGCTCTCCATGTTACATAATTAACACAGAAAGAGTTCAAAACTTGGGCCTTGCCACATGAAATGGTGTTTAGAGACAATCCCAAGTACTGGGGGCTGAACTTGAAGCCCCAGTAGAACATTACATAAATCTGAACATTACAGTTGAAACCACCCTGGATGCTACCAAGGAATGCAGATTAAGATGCACTGGTATGGCTTTGGCGAAATAAAAGTGTGTTTCTAAAATTAACTTGTTCGTTTTCAGATTGGATAAAGAACCCAGGAGGCTGGAGAACATTAACAGAACATTAGAGCATTCTGTGAAGCCTCTCAAGACAGTTGTGTGGTTAAGATATGTCCTGTATCTGTTGGCTCATGATAGTATGAGTAGTATTTGAAAGGTAAATATGGGAAGAGCATGGAGTGGTGGGATTTGATTAATGGGTGGAAATCTGCAACAATGGAGAATTTTAATGGAACAAATCTAAACCTACATTTATTAATTTATTAATCTGAAAAAAATTACCAGCAGTACATTGACCAATATGTCACAAGGCATTTAGTGGAAAGGGGTTGTGGTCTGGGAAATGACAGGATCATGAGAGAAAGGAACTTGAAGGGCTGAAATGATGATGTAGATCTAGCTAGCTAAAGATGAACAGAAACAAATACTTAGTTTTGAATTGGAAATACCATCCCATCTCCTGCCCCCCAAATTATCTTTCAATGCTTAATTATATATGACATCCTCAATAATGGTGTGTCACTGTCTCTATCCCCAGCCGTAGGGCATTTCAGTTAATTTTCCAAAAGCCGATCAAAAAAATACTATGTGGTGTGTTTGTTTTCCATTTTTTTTTTTTTTTTTTTTTTTGGTACCAGAGATCAAACTTGAGATCTTGTGCTTATGAGGCAGGTGGCAGCACCACTGAGCTAAGCC